ACACACTGTTCTTCTACAAGAGCATTTAGAGTTGACTGTCATAGCATGATACTGACTAAAAAAGAAAGAACAGAGTGAACAGGACAGAGAGAGAAATTTTGCCAGTAGCAAATAAATAAAGCATTTATGATGGCTTCCATCCAGCCATTCTGGATCTCTTGGTTTAACATCCATAATTCAAATCGTACACTTGGAAAAAATTTGACTGGGCAAACAAACAGTCAGTCAGTCTTGCATTCCAGCACAGCTGTGTCCCAAACCGTCACGTCCATGGCATATCGCTTCAGACATTAATTTTGTTTAGAGCTTTTCGATGATGTGTGCGTATATTTATACATTTCGGTCTGTGAGGTAGAGAGCGTCTCCAGATGTTTTCTGTCTTTCTGGTTTCATCACTGACTTGGCTGGATGTTCTTGTTTTGAACCAGGACAATTGCCCGTTCATATTTAACCCAAGACAGTACGACCATGACCGCGATCAAGTTGGTGACCGATGTGATAATTGCCCATATGACAGTAATCCAGAACAGACCGACACCGACAACAACGGCGAGGGTGATGCGTGTGCCATTGACATCGATGGTGATGGTAAGTCTTTCTTTCATCATGTAACCCGATCAACACAAAGAACACAGAAACCATTATAAGGGTGTTTTGGTGTAACACTGGAATTTATTTGTCTAGGCATCCTGAATGAGAAAGACAACTGTCCATATATGTACAACACTGACCAGAGAGACAGTGACGGAGACGGAGTCGGTGACCACTGTGACAACTGCCCACTGGAGCACAACCCTGACCAGGTGAGATGCTTGAACTTGCTTTTTTAAGACACAAGTGTGCAACTATGAACAGCAGATAATGACGGCTTTGCAATAATCCATGTGATGTCACAGATCGACTCTGACTCTGACAACATTGGAGACAAGTGTGACAACAACCAGGACATCGATGAGGATGGACATCAGAACAACCTTGACAACTGTCCCTACATCCCCAACGCCAACCAGGTCGACCATGACAAGGACGGCAAAGGAGACGCCTGCGATCACGACGACGACAATGATGGTGTGCCTGACGACAAAGACAACTGCCGACTCGCCTTCAACCCAGATCAACTAGATTTGGACGGTGAGTCCAACGCGCCGGCGCTGATTTTAGTCCATTTTATGTGAAATTTTATTTGTGCAAGTGTAAATTTCCACATGCTGAATTTTTGTCTCTTTTCTCCTGCCCAGGAGACGGGCGAGGTGACGTTTGCAAGGACGACTTTGACGTCGATAACGTGCCGGATATTTACGACGTTTGCCCGGAGAACTTTGGCATCAGTGAAACAGACTTCCGTAGGTTCCAAATGGTTCCTCTCGATCCCACTGGAACTTCCCAAATCGACCCCAACTGGGTCGTCCGTCACCAGGGCAAAGAACTTCTGCAGACCGTCAACTGTGATCCTGGCATCGCTGTTGGTAAGTGGTTGAGAGATACAGCTAATGATAAACACATTCATCTACATCCAAATGTTAATCATCTTCTTCTTATTGTTGTCCCTCAGGTTATGATGAGTTCAATGCCGTGGACTTTAGCGGCACGTTCTTCATCAACACAGACCGTGATGACGACTACGCCGGCTTTGTGTTTGGCTACCAATCCAGCTCACGTTTCTACGTGGTGATGTGGAAACAGATCACACAGACCTACTGGTCTCATACACCCACTAAAGCACAGGGGTACTCTGGACTGTCCATTAAAGTAGTGAACTCGACCACAGGACCGGGCGAACATCTCAGGAACGCTTTGTGGCACACTGGAGACACCGAGGGACAGGTACATATCGTTCTCAAGCAGTCGTGAGAACATTCAATTGAGTTTGGCATTTAAAATGTCCTGCTCACCTTATTTTGGACCATTTGCAGGTGCGTACCCTGTGGCATGATCCCAAGAGCATTGGCTGGAAGGATTACACCGCCTACAGATGGCAACTAATCCACAGACCCAAAACCGGACACATCAGGTAAGTGTGGAAGCCAACTTAGATCAGGGGTGCCCAATCCCGTTCCTGGAGCTCTACTTTTCTCAGTTCAGCTCCAGTCCTCATCAAACACAACTGAACCAGCTAATTAAGAGCTTGAGGACCACTTGATAATTGCACACAGGTGTGATGGAGCAGGGCTGGAACTGAACTCTGCAGGTGGGTGGATCTCCAGGAACAGCATTGGGTGGCCTCAACTTAGATCAACCGTTTTGTCCTAGGTACAAAACAACAGCTAAATCGGAAAAGCAGCTTCACTCACTTCTGTTCTGTTTATCGATTTTTAGAGTTATCATGTATGAAGGCAAAAAAGTCTTGGCTGATTCAGGAAGCATCAATGACAAGACATATGCCGGAGGAAGACTTGGCCTCTTTGTCTTCTCTCAAGAGGTGGTTTACTTCTCAGACCTCAAATACGAATGCCGAGGTAACACGATTGGATGGTTTTGAAGAATATTCCTCTCTATAGTTCTCTTATTGTTCTGGAAAGTTCATGAGTGTTTGTTTGACTCTTTTGCAGATGCATCATAACGGCCCAATCAGCGTTTTCCTTAAGGATCTGTCGGTTTAAATGTGTTCTGTTATAAAACTCTTCTGCGGTGGGGTCGAGGATCCAAATGTGGAGGCCAAAAACTTTCAATCTAAACAAGGACCACAGGAGCAGGTCGAGCATGAAGACTCATCAATACTTTTATCTCATCTATCTCAGCGACTCTCGGCTTGTTTCTTATCATGTGATTGGTAAAAGGAAGTTCTTCTGTAACGTCACTTCAGATCTGCTGTGGACTATGATCATGACAAAGGAGCCACTTGTGAACTGAAGCAAAAGCTTCCCCTTGATTCTGGTGGGTTTGAGATGCCACAGGAGGAACTGTTGAGGGGTGACGCACAGGACAGACAAGTCTGTTTGACTTTGTGAAAACGTGTTCTTTTGCATGGATTGAGACATCCAGATCTTCAGGACTCATTGACTCAGGCTCGTTTTTCCATAAGTTACGAGTTACCCATTACCCCCCTCCTCAAATTCAGCAGTCTTGATGTCTGCTTTTGATCAGCTTCAGTCATCGATGTTGACAACCCAAGAGTCTTAATTTCACTGTTTATAGAGCGGAGAGCTTCTCAGGGCTAGAGGGACCTTTGTGATTTGCCGCTCAAGAAGGAAGTTCATGTCTTAGATTATTACACAGATGTCCTGATGAGCTTAAGCCAGACTCGAGAGTTTTTGTGGTTCTAAACAAGCAGAAATGGAAAAAGGAAGTGGAGATGTTACAGAGGGATGGATAATAGGCGCACTTGTTTAATTTATTTATTGTGTTGAGAGGAGATGGATGCATGAGAACTCATCTCAGTGCCACGTATTACTGAAACAAAGAGAACAACTGGAGCGTTTCCTTCCTGGGGTGAATGAATGGTGAACAGAATATGATGTAAACGTACAAATATTACCTCACTGTTGTATAATTGAACTCAACAAAAATTGCAAATTATATTTGTGCCATTTATAACTCGGTTGTGTTTTGTTTTAGAGCTACTCTATGTAGTAAAACATTAATTCTGTACATAATAAAAGAAAAACACTTTTTTTATGAGATGCCCCAGTAGAACACGAATGCAAAGTTGTTAATATAATTAGTTTGTGCCTAATTAATGAATGATGTCTTTTCTTTTTTTTTTTTTAAATAAGTTATTGGTAAAGTTGTTTTTTTTCTGTGTATATATATGCTATTTAAATAATTTATAAGGAGCTGTAACCTGACATTAGAAGTGTTTGTATAAACGGTTTGCACACTGATGAGGATTTTCTTAGTTGAAGAATGCTTCAGTGTCAGTATTGTTACTAGTTTTACACAACAATGTTGTTTAATTTGTATCAATCCTTTTGTAAAATCAATGAACAATAAATACTTTTGATTAAAAAATGACAATGAAATGCTTTTGTTTTTAGTAGCTCACGACGTCAGCCGGCCTGATTTCTAAAAAAAAAAGTTTACACTCTAAATCTCAAAGAAATCCAGTCCATAAATAAGAATTTGTCTTAAGTATACATTTTAATTGCGTAGTCTGTCTGCGGTTTGGTTTATGGCTAAAATGACTCAAGGTTACTGCTACAACAAAAGCTAATTTGGTCAAAAGAGCATTAAAAAAAAAACAAAAAAAACTCTTATTTTCTCACATGAAATCCAGGATCTTTTATCAGCAAACACTCGGCTCACCTTCAAGGTCAGGAATGCTGGAGTCGCTGTAACACGGCCATACGTCCACACGTGCACAAACGTCATGCTTTACACTCAGTAATCTACAGTTTGTGAAGGCAATGTGAGCTGTTTCCGCTTTAGCTCTGGACATTGATTTAGTACAGTACTGTTCAAACATTTGGGGTCCGTATGACTTTTTAATATTTTTGAAATACGCATTTATTTAATCAAAAATACAGTAAAAATAGTGCAATATTATTATAATTTAAAACAGCTGTTTTCTATGTGAGTATCTGTTAAACTGTAATTTATTTCTGTGATCAAAGCTGTATTTTCAGCATCATTACTCCAGTCTTCAGTGTCACATGATCTTCAGAAATCATTCTAATATGCTGATTTGCTGCTCAAGAAACATTTCTGATTATTATCAATGTTGAACACAGTTGTGCTGCACAATATTTTTGTGGAAACTGTGATACATTTTATTTTTCAAGACTCTTTGATGAACAGAAGGTTTGATCATGCATTTATTTGAAATAGAACTTGTCATTTTTGATTAATTTAAAGCATTCCCCAAACGTTCGGACAGTAGTGTGTGTACTTGCGTGGTGTTAATGAGCCATAACACAAGTGCACTAGTGAGGGTTCTCAACGAAGAACAAGGTCAGCATCAGACGGATTTGATCCACATATTTCTTTGAGTTAATCAAAAACTCATGACATGAATAAAAAGACATTGGTTTGATTTTTGAAAAGGAAAATTTTATTTTGTCCTCTTACGTTCTTTTTCAGATGTTCTGGAGTCTGACCGTGATGCTGACGCTGGCAGACACATCAGAGACTGGATGACAAACACACTTTCGTGTCCTCACTTATTATGCAACTCTAAAGCACAAAGACCTAGATTATGAACCAGAGCGAAATAGAAAACAGAAGAACAGACTCCTTCATATTTCATGCCTCTTTCTTGTCAGTCTCACTGTGCCGTAGCAGATCCGAGCCGGAGAGACGTGGAGAAGCATCCAGAGCCGAGCTCGTCCCGAGGGATGATTCTGATGAGGAACCTGCAGGAGATCGGATCATGTCCTCCTCACATTCCTGCAGCAGATTCCTCAACTCATCGTCAGACAAACGAACCGACTGCGAGAGAAGAGCAGAGACAGACATGAGCACATGCTGCAGTGACCAAAACAAACACTTTCCTCACGAAGAGCTCAAACTAGTTCTGATTTGGAACTGGAGAGTGGATTATTTTTTGGGCATGTTTTTACAAGCATTGACACCCATATGGCAAAAATATATACAAATGTGTCCCTGCAGCACAAAAGCAGTGTTAAGTCGCTGGGGTATATTTGTAGCAATAGCCAACAATACATTGTATGGGTCAAAATTATACATTTCTCTTTTATGCCAAAAATCATTAGGATATTAAGTAAAGATCATGTTCCATGAAGATATTTTGTAAATGTCCTACCGTAAATATATCAAAACTTAATTTTTGATTAGTAATATGCATTGCTAAGAACTTAATTTGAACAACTTTAAAGATGATTTTCTCAATATTTAGATTTTTTTGCACCCTCAGATTCCAGATTTTCAAATATTGTCCTATCCTAACAAACCATACATCAATGGAAAGCTTATTTATTCAGCTTTCAGATGATGTATACATCTCAATTTAATAAAATTGACACTTAAGACTGGTTTTGTGGTCCAGGGTCACAGATATACTTTTTGGGCCAAAATATATTTTAAATACATGCTAAAGTAAGTTGTAAAGAGTGAAGCTCAATGAAATATATTTTGGAAATTGAAAATATATTTAGTTTCAACCTTCATATACCAAAATATATTTTAAAATGTATTTCAGGGGCAAGAAAATACATTTCCAATCTTAACAGTACCACGTTGTAACACGTGTTATAGACAAAAAATAAAATGTGACATGAATGTATTTTCTTGAATTGAAATATATGGCGCGCACATTTTTTTTTTTTAAATTCTTTAAAAAATATATTTATATTTTTTAAATAAATTCTCAAAAACATACAAAAAATATTGGTAGAAAACATATTTACATAAATGTATTTTAGCAACGATATATTTTTGGCTATTTTTTTTATTTATTTTGAAATATATGTAAAATTATTTGAATTTTTTCCCCATGAGTTTTCCACATAAATACACCACAGAAGTGATCTAAAGTTGAAAGAATTCTTCCTCTGAACCGACTAAAGTACAGCGCGTTCATCATTCTCCAGACGGCTCTGACCTCCAGTCATCAGCTCGTGTTCCTCAGTAAACTATTGTCTTTCTTCCCTCGGGGTGCGAGAGGCGCTGGAGGTCGAGATGAGGGTGAAGGGTGAGGTCAGACCTCCTCAATCTACCACCAACACACCGAAACACCCTCACGCTGCAGAAACTCATGCTCTTAACTCACTATGTTTGTCTGATTTTCCAGCGCAAACATCTGAACATCCTTAAATCAAGAGACATTTACTCGAGCTTCACAATGACTGAAGATTATACGTCTTGTTTTCTGAAAAATGCATCAAACTGAAGTGAGTTTATCATTAAAACAAGTTCAAATATCAGTCAATGGGGTCAGAAAAATAATGTATTCCCTTTAAATTAAGTCTATTGTCAGATATGTGTTCTGGTTTAATCATAAATTCACTTCATTTTGATCAGCTTCTCTTATCTTCAGTCATTGTGAATCTCCAGAGAATAATCTTGATTTAAGTCTTGAATTTTGTTGCAGTTTGACGAATTGATTTTTGAGTTGTGGAAAAACCTGATATTTTTTCTTGGTATTTTGTGACTTTTTTAAAAATCTCATTTAGGATCATGAACATGCATGCAAAGTTCAGATGATCTGATGAAATGTGCATACAAACATTGTATTAGGATTATAATGTTTGCGGGTCAATTCGACACATTTCATGATTAATGTCAGCTACATAGAAACAAAACAATTTGGATTATTATTGTTATTCTGTTATGTCAGTTTCTCAGCTGCTCTCTGAGGGTGTTTATTCACATTTATAAATCTGGCAGATGCTTTTATCCAAAGAAATTTACACTGCGTTGATGGGAATCGAACCCATGATCTTGGCGTTGCGAGCGCTACACTTTCACTGTTTGAGCTTCAGGATCACACAGAATACATTTTTTTTAAAATGTTACAAATAATAAAATAAAATGTTATAATGCTGTTTATAAAAGTTGCAGTTTGTGAAAAGAGTAAAAATAGTTAAATTTTATTTTAAAATATGTTCTCTTGTTTCTTTTTTTTAAATGTGTGGGAACCATTAATATTAAAGATTTTCTGTTTTTAACAGAACTTTTTTTTTTTTTTTTCTAATTATGTTGAATCCATTTAGGGTAAATAAAAACTGCACCTATAATTTGATATCAAAACACACTATAAAGTATCATAATGATGAGTAAATGATGACAGAAATCTCATTTTATTCTCGAGATCATGACATTAGATCAGACAAGTTTGATGAGAAGGACAGGATTCTGGATATATTTTTCTGGCCAACATATATATTAAATACATGCTGTAAATAGTGAAGCTCAATAAAATATATTTTGGAAATTGAAAATATATTTAGTTTTAACCTTCATGCACTAAAATATATTTACAATCTTAAAAGTAGCCCACATTTAGGCAAAATGCAAATGTGGATATCCTACTAGAGACCAAAAATAATTTTTTATATAAAAGATTATATTTAATACATAATTTTTTTTTTTTTATATATATATATTGTAATATGTATATTGTAATTTTTTAAAAGTAGTTTAACATTTTAAAGTATGTTCCTTGATGAATTTTATTCAAATATGTAATATGTTCACACGTGTTACAGACAACAAGAAAAGTTTTTCTTCAAATGTGACATATGTGAATGTATTTTTTTTTTCTCATATATAATCGCTTAATCATTGTTTCAACTGCAAAAAGACATTAAAAAAAAACAGCTTAATGTCATGTAACGTTACATTTACCTCAGGTTAGTTAGCAAGAGAAAATAACTGTAGCGAGGAACATTTTAATAAATAGATGCACTATTCATTATATATATTTTTTAAACTTCAATTTTAGTGATGTCTCATTTTGTACAGTATTTTTTAATAAATCTGTCTTGAAAACAAGTTATGATAGTAAGTTGATGGGGAGCAAGTCACTGAACACTGGAGAAGTGTGTGTTCTCGTTAATGAATGCACGTTAATGAATGCACGTTAATGAACAGCAGAAAAATCTCGACTAACAGCAATGAAGGCAATGCTTTTCGTTTTCGTAAGACTACATCAATTTCTTATATACAGTAATGGCCAAAAGTAGTGGATATTTCTCAATTCTTGCCTTTAATGACCCTACAAAATCAAAAAATACATAGAAAAACAAATGGCTCACTGGAAATAAAGCACTGATTGAATACAAGAATATAATCAGTTATTAATATTTCGTTGGTTCTCCCTTGTTTTATCCACAAGCACAACTACACAATATGCTTACAAAATCCTTAATATTAAAATGTTTGAATAAACATCACTTTTGGCCACTACTCTACTAAAGTTAGCTGTGCGTCCCGTATTCCACCCTGAGAAATCTGGTCACCCTATCAATCTTATTTATGAACATTCTTCACAATATCTTCTGTTACAAGAAGATATAAAGTCATAAAGGTTTGGAATGACATGAAGGAGAGTAAATGACGACGGAATGATCATGTTTGAGGCTTTCAGCAGTATAATATAACATGTCTTTCCTCCAGAGATCATCGTTGAGAAGAAGAGAGAAGCTCAACAAACATTATCATCGACTGCCATTCGAAATGATCATTAATCAGTCGTTTACATCAAACAGTCAAAGCTTTTAACATCTCGAGCCTCTTCAAACTGCTCAGAAACTCAGCGCTAAACAGAGATGAGAAGAGACGAGAAAGAAAGAAAGAAAGAAAGAAAGAAAATAAAAATGAAAAAGAAAGAAATAAAGAAAATAAAAATGAAAAATAAATAAAACAAGAAAATAAAAATGAAAAAGAAAGAAAAAGAAAATAAAAATAAAAATGAAAAAGAAACAAATAAAGAAAATAAAAATGAAAATGAAAGAAAGAAAAAAATGAAAAAGATAGAAAGAAAATAAAAATGAAAAAGAAAGAACATAAAAAAGAAAAAGAAATAAAGCAAGAAAATAAAAATGAAAAAGAAAGAACATAAAAAAGAAAAAGAAATAAAGCAAGTAAAGAAAAGAAAAATGAAAAAGAAAGAAAGAAAATAAAAATGAAAAAGAAAAGAAAGAAAATAAAAATGAAAAAGAAATAAAGAAAATAAAAATTTTAAATTAAAATTTTTTTATAAAAATGAAAAAGAAAGAAAAATAAAATAAAAAGAAAAATGAAAAAGAAAACGAAAGAAATAAAGAAAATGAAAATAAAAAAGAAAGAAAAAGAAAATAAAAATGAAAAAGAAATAAAGAAAATAAAAATTTTAAATTAAAATTTTTTTATAAAAATGAAAAAGAAAAAGAAAAGAAAGAAAATAAAAATGAAAAAGAAATAAAGAAAATAAAAATTTTAAATTAAAATTTTTTTATAAAAATGAAAAAGAAAAAGAAAACTCTCTCTCTCTCTCTCACACACACACACACACTCACGCCGCCGGGTTCGTTCTCCTCCAGGAGCTGCAGCTGCTGCTGGATTTCTCGCAGACGTCTCTCCTCGTCTCGTCTCTGTCTCTCTCCGTCTCCTGTGTTCTCCTGCAGACTCCCCTACAGCACAAGACATTTCATCTGAGTACAAACACAGAGTTAAACTCATGTTTCAGCAGTCTGGAGTCTCTCTGTGTGTGTGTGTGTGTGTGTGTGTG